TATGTGTACATCAAACCATCAAATGAGGTTTATGCACGACACCTCTTGGCAACTCGTAAGCAACAGCCAGGAGAAAGTTTTGATGAGTATTTACACGCTCTTAAAGTTTTAGCAAAAGAATGTAACTTTAAACAGGTGTCTGCTATTGAATATCGCAATGAATATATTAGAGATGCATTTATAACAGGGATAAATTCACAGGTTGTCAGACAGCGACTACTAGAAAACAGTACAATAAGTCTGGATGAAATATTTTCAAAAGCTAGAACCTTGGAATCAGCGCAGAAAAATGCTAAAAATTACCTCCAGTATAATACATCAGATACAACAGTAGCTGCAATAACAAAAAAGCCAAAGCAATTTAACTCAAATTCTGTTTCAAATTGCTGGAACTGTGGGAATCAAAGACATGCTAAAGCTGTCTGTCCAGCTAGAGAGTCGATTTGTTTTAAATGTGAGAAAGTTGGTCATTTTGCCAAGTTATGTAAATCTTGTAAACTTACAACAGCAGGGATGAATCTTGTTGATCAACCTTTAAACTCATACAATCCTTCACTCACTTGACTAGACTACTCTGAACATAAAACTACTTGCTTGTTTTCAACGTACCATAAACGAATTTATAGAAAAAGAAGGACTTTTAGATACTTATGCTTATCTAGATAATGTGACAATATGTGGTAAAACCCAAGAGGAGCATGATCTTAATCTGGAAAAATTTCTCAAGTCAGCTAAAAATATAAATCTTACTTATAATCATGATAAATGTAGCTTTTCCCAAGATAAAATTTGCATTCTTGGTTATCTTATAGAAGAAGGAAAACTCAAACCAGATCCCAGTCGTCTTCAACCTATGAAAAAAATGCCTCCTCCTCATGATGCTAAATCCATGAAGCGTATCATCGGACTATTCTCATACTACTCTAAATGGATTCCAAACTTTTCCGATAAGATAGCTTCTCTTACCAAAAACACCAAGTACCCATTAGATCATTAGTGTGTAAATGATTTCAATCAACTTAAACAAGACATTGCAAATGCTGTGACAGATTATGTGGACGAAAATGTTCCATTTGAAGTAGAAACGGACGCATCTGACATTGCTATAGCTGCAGTTCTTAATCAAAATGGCCGCCCTGTAGCTTTCTTTTCAAGATTACTTCAAAAATCTGAACTCAAACATCCCTCTATTGAGAAAGAAGCTTGCGCAATAATAGAAGCAGTCAGGCATTGGAAACACTACCTTACTGGACGCCATTTTAAACTTATTACTGATCAGCAACCTGTATCCTATATCTTCGAAAAGCATCATAAATCAAAGATTAAAAATGATAAAATTTATCGATGGAAAATTGAAAATCGTGCTATAATTATGACATTGTTTACAGGGAAGGGAAACTAAATATTCCAGCTGACACATTTTCTAGAATACATTGCTCAGCAATAAACACTAACAACTTAATTCAGCTTCATCAATCACTCTGTCATCCTGGAGTAACTAGGTTTTATGCTTTTATTAAAAACCGTAATTTACCTTTCTCAATTGATGATGTTAAACGAATAACTAATCAGTGCAAACTATGTTGAGAATGTAAGCCTAGATACTACAAACCACTAAAATCTAATCTGATAAAGGCGACACAACCACTGGAACGTTTGAACTTAGATTTTAAAGGACCTCTTCCTTCGGAACGTAATAACAAGTATTTTTTAACCATAATTGATGAGTATTCTCGTTTTCCTTTTGCAATCCCGTGCCCTGATATTTCAGCTCAGACTGTAATTAAGTGTTTGTCACAAGTATTCTCGATTTTTGGTTTGCCAAGTTACATCCATTCCGATAGAGGTTCAGTCTTCATCAGTAAAGAATTAAAACAATACTTACTAGAGAAAGGTATTGCGACAAGTCATACTACAGCATATAATCCACAAGGGAATGGACAAGCCGAAAAGTATAATGGAACTATAATGAAGTCTATTGAGATTGCTACTAGACAACACAATTTACCCATCAAAGCTTGGGAAAAAGTATTGCCAGACGTTCTCCATTCTATAAGATCCTTAGTAAATACTAAAACAATGGAGACACCTCATGAAAGAATGTTTAAGCACCTTCGTAAAACAGCCTCTGGATGCACTTTACCTTCATGGTTAAGTCATCCTGGACCAATACTAATGAAAAGACATTTACGTAATAATAAGTATGAACCACTGGTAGACGAAGTGCAACTCATAGATGCTAATCCTCAATATGCTCACATAAAGTATCCAGATGGAAGAGAAACCACAGTTTCCCTAAGACACTTAGCTCCAACAAGTTCTGCTCCGATCATTGATCAAACAAACCATATTGAGCCTTCACCAGAGAATGCCTTTAATAATATTAAACCTTCACCAGAGAATGCTTTTAATAAACCTTCTTACCCCTATAAACCAATAACACCTGAGAAATATGGACTTACCAATACCAATCCTGAAAACTTTCCTAACCAGCCTCCCCTTTATCAACCTCCGCTAGCAGAAAATCTTGTCAATGATGCTTCCCGACGGGCATTTGTTTTTAAAAGTTACGTTCTAAATGTATTTTAAATGTCTTTTAAACGTCTTTTAAACATTAATATTTAAAAGACGTTTAAAAGACGTTTAAAACACATTTAGAACGTAACTTTTAAAAACAAATGCCCGTCGGGTTGTCCGATCAATCCATTGTTATTAATAACACCTGGAAAAGACACACGTAGATCCTCAAGAGCAATTCGTCGACCATTACGACTTATAGAAGAAGATACATGAAAAACCTTCTTTGTATTATAGTATATTCTGTTTGTATTATGGCTGCAGAGAATGTTGTGTTTTGATTATTTTAGATTATGTTTTTATGTTTTGATTATTATGCTTATGTTTATTTTAGAGTAGAAAAACTTATAAGAATTAAAATATTGTAGTTCTTTATACAAGTGTTTCACACTTACTGATTAAATTAGTTATATAATTATGTAAAGATCATTTACAAATAATTTGTAAATGATCTTTACATAATTATATTAATAATTTAATCAGTTAGTATAAACAGAAATTATACAACTATCAACTAATTGTTAATTATTTTATATGTGTAGAATTTCATTTGTTTTCCTTAAATGAAGATCAGACCATCTTATATTGAGTGATTTACAAGAAGTAGGTAATAATTCAGACTGATTTAAATTATATCGGTCTGAATTTTACTTTTACATACACAGTTATATAACAAAAGCATTAGTAAATAAATAACTAATTAGTTTATAATTGCATATTTTCTATTACTACCATTCTATCTTACATCATCTTTTTTACATTACTTTTATGTAAACTTTTTTAATTTTTTGAATTCTTGTCCTAAACGTTTTTTTCTCCTTGTTTATGTTTACTAAAATAGTACGGACGTTTTAGGTACACTTCTAACAGTTATAACCCGAAAGCGCAATCTCGTTTTGAGTTTTACGCAGTGGGAACTAATATTTCAGGCGGATCTCTTTTACAAATTACACAGGATTCTACTACAAATTACACAGAAAAATGTTTTCATATTATTATCAGTGATAGAGTGAAGCATTTGTATTAGAGTATTCATTATAATAATTTTTCTTCTTTTAATTCCATTTTAAGCTTTAAAGAGTTGTGCAACTATTTTGTATCAGAACAGAATCAAAATTTATTGCTAGATTTAGATTTTTTAATAGCAAGAACTTCTTGCTATTAAAAAATCTAAACTTAGCAATAAATTTTGATTCTGTTGTAGCAATACAAAATAGTTGCACAACTCTTTAAAGCTTAAAATGTAAAATGTAAAAATAACAACATGTTACTCCTTCTTGAAGAAGGAGTAACATGTTGTATATTTTACTTTAGATGCAAGGGAATTACAAACGATTATCAAGTCGGTGAGAGCCTAATGCTCATGCAATTAAAGCTGCTATGGCAACCCTTTGAATCAGATAGTTACTCACTCTTAGTAATATAGTATAATATTTTAAATCAAATTAACTGCGGAAAATAAATTTCAATAAACTAGTCACTTTGCTTATATTTTGATAAACAAATTTTTTCAAATATTTTCAACAAGCATCTGCTATGCATTAAGTGTTTAAAAAAATCAAATTATAAAGTAAGTAAAATAAAAATTTATTTTAAAATTATAATTTATAGAAAGCATAGAGAGTTTTTAACAAAAGCTCAAATAAATGATCATATTGCAAATATTGAAAAGGTCTTTCCATTGGTAAATAAATGTTAAAAAACATGTATAGAGAATGCAAGCAATTGTTAAGCAGTAATATTTATTATTTATTTAGTTTCTTATTGTATATTTATAGTATATGCTATACCTGTAATCTTCTTGTATATTCTCATTTTTAGCATTAACTTGTATATTTAATTGTAATGTTTTAGTTAACATAATGTATTTAACTTAATAATTTAACGTTAAACTAATGAACTTTAAAAAAAATACAATTGGCATTATATTGCAAACTAAAGTTTAACTTTAACATTTTTTTGTTGAAAAACCTGTAATACCTAATTTTTATTTTCAGATTTTATTTTAAGCTAGTTTTTATTTTAACCTAAAAAACCAAAGCTAATAAAGGCTAGCAAATGCTTTTACTGTCTTTCAAAATATTGTTTTCATTTTATTTTCTGGTCCAATTATGACTATTATTACTATTTAATAAGACTTTTAACTTTAGGATTTTAATTATGATACAAACATTCAACTGTATGATTTTAATTATGACAATTATATACAAACATATTTTGATCAAACGTAGTTTGATGAGAGAATAAAAATATTAACTATTCAAAGTTTAGGAAATATAAGAATATTAACTCTTTTAAAAAAATTTACACTGTTTTTTTATTTATAAAAATTTAGGTTTTCTTCTTATTATTATTTTTCATTGTGTTCAGTTTTCATTATTATCTTTTATTGTTAAAACTACTAAAATTTATGTTTATTTCAGAATCATAATATGAATAAACAAAAGAAAAATCAATACTTGAGGGAATGGCGCCAAAGTAATCAAGCCTTAATTAAGATCATAAAGATACTTCTGAAACTGAGAGTTCTGATCTAGACTCTGAGGGACCTATGAATGATGATAATGAAGATCTTAATGATGGAGTACTTGTTACAGAGATTGCTAAATGGATTTTAAAATATTGAATAACTAGAAATATAAGTGATGAACTGTTATTTTTAATTTTACACCTGTATGGTCATCATAATGATTTACCAAAATGCACAAAAGGAATTTTAAATACTCCTAGGAATGTTCCAAGTGAATCAAAAGTGGAGGTGAATATGTTTATCTTGGTATTTCAAACAGCATGTCAAGAACTTTAGCAGTCAACTAGCATTATAGATTTGAGTCAAATACAATTTTTCTAGTTGTCAGTGTAGATGGTATTCCCTTATTCAAGTCATCAAACACACAGGCCTATATTATTTATGTTTGACAAAGGGAAACCATTTATTGTATCATTATTTGTTGGTGATAACAAGCCAAATAATTGTGATGATTTTTATATGATTTTTTGCATGAGTATGAGTTATTATTGGCAAATAGTTTTCAGTATAATTCATATAACTTTGATTGCATCTTGAGAAAAATTGTTGTAAATGTGCTAATAAAACGTCAGGAAGTGTAAGCGTAACCACTTTTGAAAGATTGAGTCCCTTGAAGAGTTTTATGAACTTGAAACCAAATTAAAAGACAACCAGGAGTACTGTAAGTTGGTAATTATATTTATAATTTCTATTTTTAAAGTTTATCTGTTTGATAGAATGCTATTTAATTTCATCATTTTCTTGATGAACATATTTAAATTGCTCTCACATTTTACCAGAAAGTGGTGTAAAAGGTAAATTTATACTTAAAATGTGAAAAGTAAATTCATACTTAAAATGTGAAAAGTAAATCCATAATTATTTTAGTGACCTGATAGCCATTTACATTCTGTAGAGTTTTTCACAGTCTTGTATTTTTTGTTAAATAATTTTGTCTTATAATTGGTTGAGCAACTATTTTGTTGCTTTTATAAAAGAACTGTGACAAACAACCAAATGAAACTAATCCTGTCTTATTTGAACGTGAATTTTTCACTAGACTTTTATTTATGTTTTAGCTTTGTCACCTCAAGAAAGCATGTGAAAAAAATGTTAAAGAAAATACAAAAAATGTTATGGTCAGGTATGCATTTTTGTTTAACTCTGGATAATCAAACCGTTTAAATTGTGAGTAAATTTAATAGAAAAATCTATCCCAAGGAAAGTAATTTAAAAAAACAAACAATTTAATAAAAATGTTGGGGAGAACCTTGATGAATGGAATGCTGTTGAATGGGACAAAATCAAATTTGCATACAAGCATCTAAGGTTAATTGGTAAATAAACTCCTGTGGTAAGAAATGTTAAACACAACAATTCAACAGACCAAATCATTACTCTATCATGGCCTAAACATGATGGGCCAAACATAACATTAAAACTGTTGCATAAATGGGAATTAATAGCACATTTCTCCTGGCAGAACAAACAATTTTCAATGTATAAATTAGACAATTTTATCAACTTTAAAAAAGTCTTTTACAAAAACTGCCCCATTCATTTAGGTTCTCCCCTACAGGTTTCAGCTTTAATTCGATATCGAAACTTTGAATATAAATTATTTATAAAAAAGTAAAGAACCTTTCAAAATTATACTTTGTGAATTATTACTCTAATGTGTGTTTACAATTAATTAAATAAGTTCGCTGGATTGATTGATGTAGTATAACCAAGTAGTTATTTTTTATTTATTATTTTTTATTACGTTTTTACAGAATTATTGAGCATCATGTTAAGCCCAAATATGTTGAATATGTAAAGCAAAATTCGAGGTGACATAAAGAAGGTATTATTCGAAGATAAAAAGTTGTGTAAAACAATAATTGGTACGTTAATAACACAGGCCAACAGCTATTTTGGTGCCGGGGTACTTGTAGCAAATTTTATATAAGTTTGATGCCCTGAACTCAAATGTATCGTTAGATATTACCAATCAGCTCGCATTTTTGAGATCATTTTAATGAAATAAGAAGCGCCAATGAAGGGGCTAGGGGGCGATGGCTTCTTTACCCTAAAAACCAAAAAATTTTTATACCTTTTATGAAAATGGTTTTTATCTATTTGAAAAGGATTTTGATTAGGATCAAATTAACAAAATAAACATGAAATTTTGATTAAATTTTGATTATTATGCTATAGAAATGTATAACTATATGGTATATTACACTCTATTATATATATAGTTGTTATATGTAAAGACAAAAGAAAAAATATTTATGAAACAAACTATAGTCACTAAACAACCCAGAAACTTTTTTTCCGTGACATTCTTGAATGTATTTTAGAACAACTTCTTTTTAAATTCCAGCAGTAATCCTCCATAGTTTTAATATCTTCCTGATCCTCCATAGTTTTAATATCTTGGTGAAATCTTTCACCTTGCTCCTCACTCATATCTCCTAAGTTTTTAGGAAAACGATCTAAATGGCTGTGTAAATAGTGCACCTTAATACTCATATTACATCTGAGGGATTTGAAACTGCTAAGCATGTCGTCAACCAGTTTAACATAGTTTTCATCTTTGCGTTTGCCCAGAAAATTTCTGACAACTGCAACAAATGAAGTCCAAGCCTTTCGCTCAGTTTCATTCATTGAATTCACAAAGGCAGAGTCATTAATAAATTGTCTTATTTTCGGACCATCAAATATTCTTATTTGCAGACATCAAATAAGGCCCAGCTTGATATGCAGTAGAGGAAAAAGGATTTTATCTCGTTCAACTAAGGCGTTGTTAATTAAATTATTTTTCCAAACTTCCATATTTTTTCTCTTAGGCCATTCTTTTTTAGTCCAGTGGTGTGTTTTGTCCCTGCTATCCCAGAGACACAAAATGCAAGGATATTTAGTGTAACCAGCTTGCTGACCCAGGAGAAAGTTAAACATTTTTAGGTCCACATAAATCACCCATTGATGTTGCTGATACTTTAGCTTTTCCAAGATTAAAGCAATGGTTTTATATTCTTCTTTCATTTTTGTTGAGTAAGCAATTGGTATTGAACCAAATTTGTTTCCATTGTGCAGAAGAACACATTTTAAACTTCACTTTGAGCTATCAATAAATAGACGCAAGTTATCTTGAAAATATTTAGGAAGACTCATCTTTTCTATGAGTCCTCTAATTTCGTGACAAAATACAAGATCCTCTTCTTGAGAGAAGAAGGGTAGCAGATCCTTTTCTCGTGTATGGTAGAAAGTAATTTTGGTTCCTTGTTCCAATAAATTTTTGTCCTTCAATCTGCAAGCAAGTAACTCAGAAGCTTCTTATGATAGATTGAGATCTCTGGTAAGGTCGTTCAACTTATCTTGGTTGAATTGTTGTGGAATAGATGCCTTTCCCTCATAATCACTGTCAATTTCATTAGTATCAAAAGAATTAGAAGCACAATATTCATCCTCGCAGAGCTCTGGTAGCTGGAGAAACGTTGGGATTGGAACTTCCTCTGAGTGAAGAACCGGTCGTCTTGCAGATAATAAATCAGGATAAGTCCACTTGCTACGGTTGTTTCGATTGATTCCAGTAATATTTAATATGCAGAAATAACAATCATTGAAATGGTTTCGTGGTTTTCTCCAAACCATTGGCACGCCGAATTTCATACTTTTTCTTTTCCCGGTAGTCCACTGTCGTAAATGGTTTGTACAAGTTTTACAGACCTGATGTGGGGCCCAGGTTTTATCTTGATCCCCCAGCCTAACACCAAAGTATGCAAACCCTCTTTGAAAAGTCACTAACTTTTTTTCTGTTTTTTTTTTTAACATATATTCTCCGCATATGTCGCAAAACACATCAGGTGATTCACACAACTTCTTCTATTTGAACTCATTTTATCTAGATCTAAATACAAAAATGCAAGAACAATTTACAACACAATACTATTTAGGTTAACTTAACAACAACACTTCAGAAAATAGAAATATCACACGACACCAACTTTCATCTATTCCGCACGGCAACAACTCTCATACTAATCTCAATTATAGTTGATGTTCACTTTTACAGTGTGGTTACTCCACCTAGTGGATTTTCCTGTTGCAAACAGACCAATAAACTGAATATATAACAAATATATAGAATACAGTAACCACACATTGTCTATACGAGTTATAACATTACTAAATGGAGTTAAAACTGTTAATTTCATGTAAAATCGCAACTTAAAAAAATCTCAAAAACTAGAGCTGATAGATAAAAACTTCAATTTCAGATTCAGCAACAAAAATATAGCTAAAATCAATTATTAAATCTTAGGCGCCAAAAAACTTTTTTTTTTGTAGGCCTGTGTAATAGCTCAATATTGTTCTATCTATCCTTCTTTCTTATATATGTTTTCTATTTTTAGATATATATTAGTCTTGAAACTTGAATGTTAGCGTTGAAAATCAAACAAATAGTCATTTATAAACAAAATAAATTTTTAACTGTTATTCCGTTTACAGTATCCCATGTTGTATTTTAGAAGTCATCCAGCTAATGCACGAAAGTTCGACGGAAGTAAACAAAAGATCAAGTATGAAGCATTTTAAAGTTCTCTCTATTGAACAATTACTTATTTTGAGTTTTTTTGTGAATTTATTATTCAAAAGAATATATAATTCAACTTAAAAAAAATATTTAAAAACATTTATTACATTTTTAGTTTGAATATCCCCATAACTATTTTTCTAACCCTTTGTAAAGGGTTAAAAACCCTTGTATTATCTTTAAATATTGGTTGTAATTATGTTTAACATCTAATGTTAATATATACGGCTATATTCATAATAACCATGACACGAAGCCGCGTAAAAAAGGGCTTCGGCTTATGTTTATATGAATGTAACTCTAGCTATATTAACATTAAATACTACACAATTACAATCAATATTTTGCGTCAATATAAAACGCCAATGTTTTTTCAGCTTGTATTTACATTAGTATAATGTTCATCTAACTTTAGAATTTTACGTTAAAATAATGTTAATATAATAAGAAGTTACAAAACCTTTCCATTTTGTCGAACCGGCAACGTTGTACTAACATAAAATCTAACTAAATAAAACGTTAATACAACGTTGTGTTCCCGCTGGGTAACTTCTGAACGACAAAAGAATTTTTCATGAAATTTTAGTTGGGTTTAAATTTTAAAAATCTATTTTAAATTTTAGAAACTTGTTTTTAATTTTCAAAAAAATTATGTTTAAATTAGTCTCCGTAAATGCTTGGAAAATACATAATTTATGTTTTTCTTTTTCCCAAGCTCCAATTATCGTAATTTTTTATTAACAAATCCTCACTATTAAAATAGAAATGTTTGGAGTTCTATCCATGCCTGGAAAATAGTTATATTGAAAATGTTAAATCTGTGGCTATGGCTCAAAATATGTTTTAATGACTTCTATACAACAATTTTTATTTATTATTATATATATATATATATATATATATATATATATATATATATTTATTTATTTATATGGAAAAGAAGGCGTAGAATTGGTGCATTATAACTATTTGCGGCATTTTTTTATTTTTATTATTAGATTATTCGCGAAATATTTGAATTACATATTTAAAAAAACAAGTTTTTATAAAAAATTTTAATATATATTTAATTAGAGGCACACAATGAGAGAAAATTTTCCCTTTCCTTCATGACCCTACTTGTTTACGGCTTGATACATATATATATATATATATATATATATATATATATATATATATATATATATATATATATATATATATATATATATATATATATATATATACATATATATATATATATATATATATATATATATATATATATATATATATATATATATATATATATATATATATATATATATATATATATATAGTATACAGATCAATGATAAATAATAATTATTCTTTATTTTGTAAATTATTCTACATTGTTTGCACATTTGTGCTAAAATCTAATTATAACAACAAATCAAGCTTTAAATTATGTTTTGAAAAATTAATATTTAATATAATAATAGATGCAAAACCTTGTGCTCGATATATTTAACTTTGTACTTATATTACGCAATATTGACTTGGGCAAAACAACAAAGTGCTGGACATAACAGATTAAAAACGTTTAAGCATTGCAGCGAAAAATACTAATAATAATAGTCAAGAAATACAGAAATCTATGTATCCTAAAATCAACAAAACAAAATTATTTTCAAGTTATTTAGCTAATGACAAGTTAGTGAGAAACCTAATAAACTATGGTAAAAAAAAATTAATTCGTACAATTAAAAAAATCTTTTAGAGTTAATCTTCAAAATTCAACTTCTTTAGTATGCAACTCATATTATTATTTTTTATTTGTTCATAATCTTTTTAACACCTAGTAAAAAATAAAATTCAGGTAAAATAGTATACTAAATATTCATAAAATATTTTTTACAAAAACATATTATCTAGGTGTTAACATTAAATGCTTAAAGCTTTGGGAGCCGCGTTGCTCTGACTGGCTCATAAGCATATAACTAATGATCGTTTTTATAGCATATATGCTATAAAAACGATCGATTTAGTTGTTAATGCAATTTAAGGTTGTTTTAAAAACTCATTATATGCCAGTTTAAATTAACACAACAATGACATTGAATTTAATTTTTTAATAATTCTTTATGCTTTTTTATTTATGTTTTTAATTTTTTAAGTTTGAGTAATTATTGAAACAGTATTGGTTACATTGCTTTTTTTATGAGAAATTTTTTATTACTTTACTATTGCTTATACTTCTTTTTAATTTATTTACTTTGAAACTAAACCTGAAACTAAGCAACAAATTTAAATCAACACTTGATGTTCAAATATAAATAAATAATTTAAGAAATTGTTTCCATGAAAACATTCAAAACACAAAAATTATTTCACAAAAACTCAATATCATATTAGAGTAATTGACTTAATATTTGATAATAACTGTTTTAATAACAAAAAATTCATAAGCTAAAATAAAAAGTAACCCAGTGTATGATGCGGTGAAAAAAAGAAATTTTTAAATTTAACAAACATAACAAGAACTTTTTGCATTAAAATTTTCTTCAAATGCTCAAAATTTCCAAATTTATCTTATCAACATATATCATCAAAAATTATATAAATTTTTTTGAGATGACGTATGTTGGCTAATATATATGTACACTAGCATTATTTTTGCTAATTTTGGTGTTTAGTTTATGCTGATATAATATCTGAGGTTTACTATGATAACTTTATATATTTGTAAATCTGTAAATATTTCAATGAAGAAACACAAAAGTCGTTATTACCAAACTAGATTTTATGAACTTAGTTTTAATTTAAGTATTCGGCTTAAGAATTAAGTTGCCTGGAGTTATGTTGTCTGGAATTATACTTAACATAAAGAAATATGTTGACTGATATTATACTTAACAATATTTGTATTTTTAAACTACCAAGCATTTTTTTTTTATAACAACACACAATAACTACAAAAACCTTTTACCCATCACCTTAAAATTTATTATTAATACATAGTTATAATTTACTATTGAATTTTTTTTTCAAACTTTGATTGTTTTAAAAGGTACACTAGTTAGCACAACTACAAGAACTTGTAATATTATGTGTTATAAATGTTTTTTTATTAGTATTCGAGCAATTAAGGTAAAGAACTCTTGAAAATCTTTTTATAGGCTTGCAACTTCCAAACATATTTTCGAGAGATATTTTTTTGTTGATAAAATGATTTGATTTTACAAAGCAAGAACCAAAACACAAAAGATTTTGAGTAGAAACATTATCAATAAATGGTATCGCATGACACTTTTTACGGTTGTCCTTCATCAAATTATTTATTATAGATTGCTGCTTGATCGTTACAACACCTGATCGAGATATTTCACTTGCTATATAACCCAGTTGACGTATATCATTTTGGTCGTTACAGCATATTTGGACCCAAAAGCAAAATAGCAAAATGAATAATGATATTTGCATTCTATTAATACAAATACAAATACAGGCAATATTATATAAATATATGTATATATATATATATATATATATATATATATATATATATATATATATATATATATATATATATATATATATAAACATATTCACTTGTATTTAAACATATTCACTTATATTATAGAAAATATAAAGTAACTTTTAAATTTAGAGTATAATAATAGACTTAAACAAGTATATAATGTCTTACAACTTAACCCTTATTTTGTAAATTAATTTTATTTTATTATACTTTAGAGAATAAAACTTCTTACGAGGCTTTGTTAGTTCAAGAAGCTTGTATAATGGCAATATAGAGTCTCACAAACTTATTTAGTAGTTCTTTTGCAATCGTTAATAATTAGGTAATAAAGAAAAGACATTGAAAAAAAATCTACGGGCGTAGAAATGTTGAATAGATGACTTATCGTATTAAGATTAAATTAACCGCGCAAATAAAAAAACCAATTCATGTTTAAAAGCTTGTAGTTTTCTTTATTTTTTGTTATACCAATGTACTTAAACTTTACTAGGGGACATCTACTCTCAAATTTTAAAATATCACATTTACACAAAAATACATACTGACATATACACTAGAAAAACTTTAAACATTTAAAAAAACAATTTTGCAGCTTTAAAAGTTGACTTTAAACTTTTTCTGTTATTTCTATTATTTTGAATTTCTGTTTCTTTACTCTGTATTATTTCTAATTTTTGTTATTGCCATTATTTTTAAATAATTTTTATAACTAAACTTCCAGTTTATGAATATCTAAACATTTGTTAAATATTTGATAAATGCTTCAATAAAAATTTTAATTTTTTGGAGAAACCAATATTGGACAAACGTTTGTATTTTCTTAAGGAGTTTTGCAAATAAAAAAATAAAAAAAATATATAAAAATAGTCGTCATCTCATTCAATTATGTAAAACTATCCCAAAAAGACTTAATTCTCCCAAAATAATTTTTATTTTAATTTCTTAATCAAGTTTTAACAAAGCTTTAACATAAATTTAGCAGTTGTAATCTTACTTTTTTAATTTCACAACATGAACTACTTTTTTTTTTCTTTAATGAAAATTTGCGATCTTCAAATAATGGCTAACAACACTAAAATTTTTTGAAGTTTAGCCTTTAAATGAATGAATTTATTTTATTTTATTTGATTAAATAAATTTTATAATAACGCGCATATTTAGGGATCCGTGACGTCGATTTTAACTGAGCGACACCAGAAAAAAAATTAATCTTTATATTCTAAAAAGAACCCCTCCCGCACTGATTATAAATAATAGCTTAATATTGACTTTTTCTTGTATAAATACTAGTTATTCAAAACATTGTGTTCTTCCTAAAAGTAAAAAACATTAGGTTAACATATGTTATCTAATGAACCCTAATAAATAATATAAAAATGCTTATCTTTAAGATAACCGCTGATTTTTAGCGCACTTAATTTTAAAAACATTTTAAAAAAGGTCAACAAGTTTACGAAAGCAAATAATAAAAGAAAATAAAAATTGTAGAGGTTAAAGTTCTGATTCATAACCAAGAGGTTCGTGGTTCGACCCCAGGTCTAGCCCATTAAGTGACATTAGTAAGGAAGGAGATTGAACTTACTGATTAAATGCTTTTTTGCCGTGCTCTGT